GATAAAATAAATTATTATAATAGATGAATAGTTGTGTAGATAAAATTGGTAATCTAAAGAAATTAAACATTCAATAAAACCACACCATACATATACARTGTCTTAGAAAAGACTTCCTTCATCGTGGCGGTGGCATTTTATAATCATTTACATTTTGTATGTCTCAGTTTRTTTGCTTCATAGACATATATTAGTAAATAATTKATACCATTATTAATATATTWTATTTTTATTCGACAGTCATTATACCTCATAATCGATGATGATATTTTGATATACTATAAAAGCGAGTTCCCGATTGGATTYGGCTTTATCTATGTCACGATGCAAGACCTTCTAAGATTATAATTAATAATTAAATATTATTGTCAAATATTATATCAGAAACTTGCGAAATTACTTCACCCAAGGCTACTCAAAACCAATCTCTGGATGGCAAATTGATTAATTATTGAAATAAATAACATGTAACAGTATATTATCAAAAGRAATAAAAGGGCTTTGTTTAGGTGTTTAATAATAARCTCTTATTCTGCTTTTGGTATAAAATCGGTAAAAAAAATTGYCAGGCGCCTGTGTCTGGAGCCCGAAAAAACTCCATCAAGTGCCTATAGGTTCTACAAACAAGTGAAGTACTGTACTATTATAGTTTCWTWTGCAGTATATACATATAGCACTAAATCAATATTAGATGCGTACACAGATATTTGATTTAGAGGTATCCGTTACCAAATATTTACACTAAGTTAAACACTATAATGTTAGTGTACTAGAACTAATATCTTTTAGGATTTCGTGGTCCACGAAATTAGTGTAATATATACCTTATATTACAATGACTTTGTCTTACAATATTATTATTACTATCATAGTATCATGGTACATGCGACTATTTTCCTGTGTAATTACTGAAGAGCCTCAAAAAAGATTGAAACGGTTTGGCCTCTAGACTTGATGACTTGATCAGTYGGGTGGTACCTACTAATTACTACTGAGTACCTTCCCATTCTATTATTTTCTGACTAGAAAAAGTAATCTATAGAAAAAAATTACGTATACCTATAGATTTTAATATTATTATTTTAATTAAAAAAAGATCAATTTCGTTGATTCCAGGGTAAATCGTTAATATTCCGTCACTTCGGAGCGTGCATCTCGAGGTGATTATAACCAAGCATGTTCACCCTCATTTTTTCCTGTTACGAATTCATAAAATCCTGATTATTAGGGCATTGAAGTAATTATACAGTTAAGAACTGTGTACTTAAATACTTTTATTTTACCATACAATTAAAATTAAATTCACTATTTAAGGAAGACACGGGAGTGAGAGTGGTTAGTAGTGATTTATATTTTTGTTATTTCACATACACTACATCACGGAATCACAAAATGGATATGCGCGTCCGGGAATATTATTTCTATCACTTTTTTTCACAGTCCATGCTTTTGCAACAGTAGACGMTGCGTTTTGTTTTCGATATATAGGTACATGATGTATTATATGGTCGTTGCACGACGTTGATTTCACGTCCAAAGTGTATAATAATATAATATAATTTTTGTACGGCGCGCTTGCGTTCCAATATTATACGACATCATGACTATATTATCGCTAGTCGGACGAGGGAAACGTTGCGACGTTCGTTTCGCTTTGTATACTCGTCGTCGTCGTCGTCGTTGTGTCTGAACCGGTTGCCGATGCGGATTTTCCCCTATCCGGCGAATAGTTGGTCGTCACTCACTTCTTCCCAGATGTGGGAATTCGTATGGGCATAAAAAAAGAAAAAAAAACTAAAAACTTCACTAGATCGCGTGTACTTTCCCCTGTCACGTATTCCCACGACAATACCTCCACTTTTCCCCCTGCAATCCACCCGTCAAGCTCTCCGACACCAGAGCCGGTGTTTCACTCGTRATGTTGACTTGTATCGGTTGTGTATTATTATACAGGGTGATTATTTTTAAACCTGGCCAGGCTATGTATACACATAATACGGAGAAAAATGTTATTTTTTTTTTTAACTTTTAATTTTTTTTTTCACGATTACTTATACCTCCCCCCATGCCATACCCTTAATGGATCAGAGCTATTGCAACTTTCGATTTTTTACTACCAATCTATAATTAGTATTTATATTTAAATTTCTCATTAAGATTTTTTATTATAAAATGTTGATAATATTATATTATATTATACTACTACTTAGAAATTCGTGTCTAAACTCTATATGTGATCTAATTCTATATACCTAATAATAATTGCTATTTAAAATTTTGGTTGGTGGAATGGAATGAAGTGTAACTAATTATTGGTTTCTGTTCCAATACGCTACTATGTTAATATAACAGAAAATTTAAGTATAGTAGGTAGGTATATTATATCGGTTTATTGATTTAATATTTGAACAACACAGGTTATGACCTTATTTTTTCTTCACATAATAATACTATTAAAATAACTTTAAAAAGCATATATGACTATTAATAATTTAATTCGCATATAAAAAAAAATCACCCGGTATAATAAATACGTGTATTTTTATATCACATATATGTGTATAAACACTATAAACTATATGGACCGGCTGGCTGCAATGATCGTGTCCRCGATATGTTGTAGCAAAATTTACATACACATACGGTCAACCGTATTCACTTTAATCGCAGCCAAATAGTGAACTATGCCGCACGAAATTGGTAAAAGAAGAAAATCGCCTTTCTATTATTATTAGGCTCGACTTGTGCTCTAATATGTATACTTATTATGTATAAAATACACATTTAATTTTGTGACGTCTTTTACGTGTAGTTTTTTTTCTTCAAATAACGCTATCACATAAACTGGTTTTGTGGTCCATTCAAGCGGGAGACACTGTACATGTATAATAATATGATAATAATATTTACACTCACAGTGCAACGTGTGCCATTATTATTTGTAAACAGCGACGGTCGTGCTCACGGTGTGTATAATACATATGCATGCGTGTAGGAAGAACGTTTTGAATGGGTTTGTTAGTCAAACGAAATTCTGTTTAAATAAATACTAATAACGGAGATCCTATAATAACGGTCTGCAGTTGTCTACAGTGAAGATTATTGCCTATTATAGTATTAGGTAAACACTTAGCCTAGCCACCGCCCGCATACAATGTATTGGTCAGAATCGTACGGATTACACTGTACAGCTGMATAATATTTCTGCCCTAACTACGCCCTAAGTTTTTTTTGTGGTTTTTATAATATTGTGAAATTCATCTTGAGTGATCATTATTCCTGCAGGGTGCTATAAGAGTATAATACCCTGAAACTAAAATCTAAGAAAAACAGAGCAAACGACTGTTACGCACTAGACATAATTTAGAAATTAATCTACATCATCTCATTATTAGAAAAAAATAAATGCATTGCTGCATATTATAGTGCTAAATATCTATAGAATTGACGTAACTATGAGAAATAAATTGATTYATTACCACGATATAAATCAAAATATTAATAACCATTACCTCTATGTACATTTATAAATTAATTGTAAATACAAGAAATATTACTAATTTTTTTAATGTCCTTTACATTTGTTCGCATTTTTACTTAAATGCAGTTTTTAACATTTGAAATTGTATTAACTTATTAATTTATGTGTTATTGGTTGTTTTATGTGTCGCTACTTTTGGCTGTAAATGAGTGAATATTTTCATTTTTTTGTCCAGGGCAAAGTTGAGTTGGTTATATCGTATTACAATATGAAGTAAAGTTATATATTAAAAATCCTACAATGTAGTACGTTAAAAGTTATAATTATAATCAAAGTGAATAATAGTATAATATTATAATAGATCGATCAGCTTTTTAGGAGCTCAACAAACATAAATCATAAGTTATGCACTTAATCCCACTATTTGGTAATATTAGAATAATATATTTTTACTGCATAGTTTTTATTCTAAATATATATAATTCCAAATTTACGGTTACTGTTAAAATTAACACGTATACCTATATTATATTGCAGTGGTCAATAAAACCTGTAGGCAGATTTAAACGCTATGCCGTGAACCACTTCATATGTAAGTTTGTTTTAAACACTACAAGTTAAACACACTTACGGACATTTTACCGATAATTGCTAAGTACTTCATTTAAACAGTATTTATCAAATTGTAATATATAATTAAAATAAGCGTATATTATTAAGATGGTTATTAAAATATAATTTTTAGACATGTTTTAATAATAATAATTGTATGATGGTTATGTGATCCTTTCAGTCATCTAATCACCGTCGGGTCTGGAAAATCAGAGAGATTAAATAAGTATCTATATTTATTATAGTTCGCACATCTAACTATAATAGACGATTCGCGATTATTGCATTTGAAATGTGTGTTGTGAGTAATTCARTTATATAATAATATAGTTATAATTAGTCCAAGTAAACTGAAGACTGAAGATTTATTGAAAGACTTTTTAAACCACGCGTTCGGTTACGTTTTAATAAAATAATATTTTTTTGTACGGGATTTCGTATTTCAAACCAAACAAATTTCTCCCGTTATTTTTACTATGATTTCAATTAATTTAATAGGGAATGTATACTGTATATAATATAGCGTATATAAACCTAGGAGTTTATTACAATTTGAATAAAAACGAGTATGATTTTGCACATGTGTAAATAATATTACTACACGAATAATTGATATTATAATGTATGCTTTTATAAAGAATTTTTTTATGGGCGTTTTAAAAACTGAGATTATGTCTAAAAAAGTAATATAAATGTTTGTTCAGGTCRCCATTGTTCTGGTGGTGGGTTTTTACTATATTTTGATTTGTGAACGCGAAATATGAACATTAGCAAAATATACGTGGCACGTTTTAGACGGGATATTCAATATTGTAAAATAATATGTATACAATTTAATAAAATAATGCTTAGAATAAAAAATTAATAATATTCGAGTTCTAGAGACTTGAACGCCCGCCGGACTCACCTCGGGGCCTTTGTAGCGCACTAAATCCTCCTTGTGCAGCTCTCGGTRACGACTGGCACCGTAAACGACTACAGAACACTATTAAAATTTTATATATCGATTTAATATGCATGCATTAATCATTACCGACGATTAATAACGGACGCAAATGGATTGCACACAACACTATAATATATTATTATTAAACGTGCGCCT